TCTGAGCACCTGTGGTCATTAAAAATTCCCATGACACTTTTAGTAAGAGAAGGGATATTAACAACAAATTCTAAACCAGTTAACTAGATTCTGCCTACCTAAATTAACCTTGTATTTTCCAGTTGGATATGGTGTTCTTCCTTACTTCCTATCCTAAAACATTGAGTATCCTTATGTATCAAACTACTGTGGTGTTTTGCCCCAGAGCTCTCTGCATTTCACAATTGATCGCCTGACCCCTATATATAATTGTATATGTCACTTTGTTAAGTTTGCAATAAGGTTTGGAAATCTTCAGGAGGAAAAGAGGTAGACAAATAAATGGAATTATCATGATCCTTAAACATATCTTTTCTTTACTGCCTCATCTCTTCATTTCTTTCTCGGCTGTTACTTAACTTTCTAATAGTACTATTTAGTTTTGTAAAGCATTTGGAGCTGTATTTTGCATGAAAGACATGATGACTATAAAATTGTATGATCGTATAATGTCTTCATTAAGCTTGTTAGAATATTCCATAGTTAATTAGATATTTTCATTACATGAATGAATGACTCCTGTGCAGCTTTTACCTGGAAACATAAACCTTATTTTTAACTTCTATAATTAAAAATTTGGATTGAGAACATGTGTCCATAGCTCCTATAGAGGCATAATCTAGTGTACAGGTCACAGGACTGGGACTCTAGAGATTGGGTATTCCCAGCTCTGCCATTGACCTGCTGGTGACCTTGGGCAAGTCACTTCATCCCTCTGTGCCTCTGTTTCCCCACCCACTCTGTCTGTCTTGTCTATTTAGACTGCAAGCTCTCTGGGACAAAGAGTCTCTATCTATGTGTCTGTACAACCACCAGCACAATGGTTGAGGCTTCTAGGCCCTACCGTAACATAAATAACGCATGTGAATGTGTGAAAGCCATTAAGCACTCTTCCAGTGCCAGATTCTGCCAGCCTTTTTCATACTGAGTAGTGCCGTACTCCATGAAAAGTCTCATTGATATTAGTATGACTACTTGAAGAGTAAGGTACTATTCAGCGTGAATAAAGGGGACAGAGTTCCTTCGAATGATTTACTCTTCTCCAGCACCAGTATCATGGAGTCCATCAGATGCAAACAAGCGAGTTTACTACCAAAAATAGACTCAAAGTGGAATGCATGATGTGACCAAATTAAAAGCACGGCTTGACCTTTGCTGCCAAACATATTTATGTTTCACAAAAATAATCTTTGCCTGATTTTTCTGACAGCTCCCTCGTGATTGACAGAAGGTCATGCATCAAAGTATGTGATCTGTTCTATAAAAACATAAGGCAGCCAGGATTCTCACTGAGTTCCAAACCTGGCCAAGACAGAAGCAGCACAAAGTATTTGCCTTTTTATCAATCGACTGCATGGCCACTGTCAGCCTCCAGCCATATCTGCCATACTGGATCAACAGCCTCTCCCCATACTTTTACTAGTAGCAACTCTCCAGTCTGCAATATGTTATCTATGCAGACATTAATTATATCTTTCACAGCTAGAAGAGATCTGTGAAGCTAAAAAGTTTGTCCCTTCCACCAACAGAAGTTGGTCCAATAAAAGATATTACCTCACATACCTCATCATGGTCTAATTATATATTTATACCAAACAGAGGGCAGAGCCCTCCACAGCAAATTTCCAGAAATCCTGAACCATTCATGAGTGTGTATCATAAATGTTTTTGCAAGAATATCAAACCTCTGTGATATTTATCACATCAACAGTTTTCCCCCTCCTACAAAGCCGAGTGTGAGTGATGCATTATTTATGTTTTACAGCAAGAAACAACAGAGAGATGTACAACATGTCTGAAAAGAGCCTGAAGGGAAATAGCAGCTTGCTTTTCAATATTACTCATCAATATGAAAGCTATGCAAATCAGACAAGGACTCAACAGTTCAGGCATTCTACATTCATGAGACAAACACAAACCAACAACGGTGGATCACAGTCTTCCATTTCTACCGGCAAGAGCAAGTAAACTTTATTGTCACATACTGTCTGCTATACCGTCATTGCTATTAGCTACTATCAATAGACCCAATATGCTGTCTGAACTTGGCTTCTGCACTGGCTCTCATTAGAGTGACACTAATGACTTACTTTTCACTCACACATCACACATTTACAGTGTATCTACTTCACTTTTACTACATATTAATACCAGTCACTTTATTCACAAGAAAAAGATACCAAATTCCACTTCCTTTTGCTATAAAACACCCACAGAAATGCATTTCATTTGACACATGTTCCAACTGTCTTGCCTTAATTAACTGACAGGATCTTTCTGTTAAAAAAAAAAATTCTCCCCTTAATTATGAGCTGAAACATTTGAAGTGACAGAAGAATACTAGATTAGCATGCTTCCTCCTTTGGCCTTGTATGTTCTTTTCTTCCGTTGACTCTCTGTCCATTCCCTCTGTTTGCTTTTTGTATCATCAATGATACACTCTCTCATTCTGGCAGCAGGAAGTCCACCACGAGCAAGTGTGCAATAATGCCACATGGATATGCTGGATGAAAGGTGATGGAGGTGGTTGTGGGATCTTCCACATAGAATCATAGAATATCAGGGTTGGAAGGGACCCCAGAAGGTCATCTAGTCCAACCCCCTGCTCGAAGCAGGACCAATTCCCAGTTAAATCATCCCAGCCAGGGCTTTGTCAAGCCTGACCTTAAAAACCTCTAAGGAAGGAGATTCTACCACCTCCCTAGGTAACGCATTCCAGTGTTTCACCACCCTCCTAGTGAAAAAGTTTTTCCTAATATCCAATCTAAACCTCCCCCACTTCAACTTGAGACCATTACTCCTCGTTCTGTCATCTGCTACCATTGAGAACAGTCTAGAGCCATCCTCTCTGGAACCCCCTTTCAGGTAGTTGAAAGCAGCTAACAAATCCCCCCTCATTCTTCTCTTCTGCAGACTAAACAATCCCAGCTCCCTCAGCCTCTCCTCATAAGTCATGTGTTCTAGACCCCTAATCATTTTTGTTGTCCTTCGCTGGACTCTCTCCAATTTATCCACATCCTTCTTGTAGTGTGGGGCCCAAAACTGGACACAGTACTCCAGATGAGGCCTCACCAATGTCGAATAGAGGGGAACGATCACGTCCCTCGATCTGCTCGCTATGCCCCTACTTATACATCCCAAAATGCCGTTGGCCTTCTTGGCAACAAGGGCACACTGCTGACTCATATCCAGCTTCTCGTTCACTGTCACCCCTAGGTCCTTTTCCGCAGAACTGCTGCCTAGCCATTCGGCCCCTAGTCTGTAGCGGTGCATTGGATTCTTCCGTCCTAAGTGCAGGACCCTGCACTTATCCTTATTGAACCTCATCAGATTTCTTTTGGCCCAATCCTCCAATTTGTCTAGGTCCTTCTGTATCCTATCCCTCCCCTCCAGCATATCTACCACTCCTCCCAGTTTAGTCTATATAGAAAGTACCCTCTATGGGTATGTGTACACTGCAATTAAAAACTATCAGCTGGCCCGTGCCAGCTGACTCGGGGCTAAGGGGCTGTTTAACTGAGGTGTAGATGTTCAGACTCAGACTGGAGTCTGGGCTCTAGGGTGGGATGGTTCCAGAGCTCAGGCTGCAGCATGAGCTCAAACATCTACACCGCAGTTAAACAGCCCCACAAGCCTGAGCCTCAGAAGCCTGAGTCAGCTGGCGTGGGCCCGCTACGGGTGTCTAACTGCAGTGTAGACATACCCCATGCTATTAATACTGCTCAGGCACAATGGCCTCAGAAGACTGTTTGACATTCTGCAAATTAAAGGCATGCCAAGATATACGATCACTATAGGCAGACTTCTCATCCTTCTCGGACTGTACTAAGCAGATGATGCTTTTCAGGGCCACAATCAAGCAAAGCACTTTCTGTGGTACTATCTGCAGGTGCTTAAGTGCTCTGATGGATAAAGGGCCCAATTACTCAATAGGATTGCCAGTTTTGGTTGGACATTTTCCTGGAGGTTTCATCACATGATAATCTTTAATTAAAGACTAATCTTTAATTCCTGAAGACTCCAGGACAATCCTGGAAGGTTGGCAACCCCCACTGAGTACTTTTCAGGATGGACCCCTAGTTTGCTAGCTATCTAGAGTTATTGTTTAAAAATGAAATCTTGGGGCCTGATTCTCCCCTGCTTTGCCCCTTGTGTAGACATTTACCTGTGCAAAGTGGGTGCAAACACTGCCATGTGGAGAACTATGATCTTGTAGCATTTTTGCCCACTTTGCACAGGGGTGAATATCTACACAAGGGGTAAAACAGGAGAGAACCAGGCCCTAGCTATCTGCTGTTCTAAATTCCAGGCATTGCAGAAGAAAAGCAGCTATGAACACATCCTGTATAAGGACCATGGATGTATAAGCTACTACCTAGAAACTCATATAAGCATATACCTTTGCTAATTTTAGCAGAGTGGGAGTAAATCTGAGTAAAAAAATGGATTCCCCCCCCCCGCCCAATCACAAAAATTTGCAAAAAAACCCCCTAAACACCTATTTTTTATTAGCTACAATTTTAGACAACGTTTTGTTAACCAGCTCTAGCATGGTAAGGGATGGTGGTCCAGTCCACCGATCAGAATTCTTTCAGCTAGTCTCTGAGATGAAGCATTTTTGTTTATTGCATGCTAAACGCTATACTACTGTACAAACCATGTTTTTTTGGCTGAAGATGCCTCAAGCACATTTGGGTTTTATGACATTATTTAGAGAATGTCGTCCTGCAGGTGTTGCTGTCTGATGCTATAATGTTTGACTCAAACAGTTCAGTGGTTTCGCCTGTGCATGTACCCATTTTTTCCCCCCTATGCTCAGTTCATTAGCAAACCTTGATCGTGTTTAGTAACTTTGTGTTAACCTCCTGTCAAAAGATTTGCTTACCATTGAACTCTACTACCATTAATCATCTGCTTTAAATAGATAATTAATTGTGAACGAGTAAAAACAAACCCATTACCGATTTCCTTTCCTGTTTCAGCTCTTGCACAAAGCGGGTTAACTCTGCAGTGATCTGAGAAGTCATGTTTTCCGAAACGACTTCATGCTGGCCAGCATAGTCATTCATTTCATTCAGTGTGGCTAGGAAGGCTTTGCATGATGTGTACCTGCAAAAGAGAAAAAATACAGAATACTTTTAGTCCATTTGTTTTCAGGAACACACACTCCAAAGGGAACTTGCATTCCTCCCAGGTTTCAGTATTACTGCACAAGATGGGATCTTAGCACAAGTTCATTGGCAGGAGTTTACTAAAAGGGAGCCCCATGCCATGCAGTGGCAATTCTCAGAAAATAACCATGACATAATTATAGTTTTACAGTGGCCTCTCTTATAAATACCAAAAGTATTTGGGCTTTACCAATCGAAAAATCATTCAGAAAATATTTTCTGGCTTCACTAACCATTATGTCCCTGATCCTGCTGTTTGCTGCACTCAGGCATAGCAGCACACCTATTTCAGTGAATTGCCTAAATGATTAACATTTAGTTAATGTGATACATACATACTAGTAAAAGAAAGGAAGAAATACTTTCTAAGCATTATTTAGATGTGGATCAATCAGAGTTTATCTAAAACCCTTTCAAGATGATGTTCACTTTTTGCAAGGTGTTTGTCCTCAATACTTTGTGAGGTATTTCCCCCCCGCCCCCGTGTCTCTTTAGCAGCTTCTAGTGATTGCCACAAAATTTATTTTCCATGGGTGACAGCATCTGTAACACTGCATTCCATGTATTATTAAAAAAGGGAAAAAATAAGCTTCCATGCATCTGGTTAATTTCAGGAAGGCAGATTATATCATTTGCATCCCCAGCACAGGCTGGAGTGCTGACCAACTGGAGGAGAGAGCAGCTAAGGAGAGTTGCACTTCTAGATACTAGAATTATCCTATTAGTGTTAGATGCTTATTGCTGCTTCCCGTGCTAGGAGCACATAAATGATAGCAGTACTTAAAGGGACAAAGGTAATGGAAAGGGGTAGGAATAAAGGTGAGAGTAATAAGAGGGGGATGTGGGAAGCAAGTGAAGAGAGGCAACAGTGAGTGAGTGAGTGTACACAAACGTAATGGGGAGCAAAAGAAAAGACTGAAAGATAGGTAGCTATGCAAGGGGGGGAAAAAACAGCAAGGGAGAGAGACCAAAAAAGGTATCGTTATTGGAATCAGCTACACTTATCAGTCCTGGTCAAGCAGCATTGCATCCAGAAAAGCAGACTGCAGAAGCAGTAGGGGAGGGTCACAGCCCTGACTTATAGTTAGAAAACAACCATCCAACCACTAAAACCAAATAATGACACAAGGGGCCACATTCTCAGATAGTGTAAATTGGTCTAGCAGCTGTTTTACAACAGCTGAGTATCTGATCCAAAATCTAGATAAACCTAATTATATAAACTATTGAGTCCACAACTGTACTCACTGAAGTCAATTGAAACATTCCCATTGGCTTCAATGGATGCAGAGGCCAGTCTATTTTCAGCTTCCAGTGGAGAAGAGCTAGTCCCTCATTTATACAGTCCTCTACAGTTTGAATCTTTAAAAACTTGTGTGTAACTATAAGAATCTGCAGTTAACTACCTTTGAAAATGCTGGGTGCACTGATATAAGTCAAGAAATGTGAAATTTAGGTCTGACAGCCTGTCCTTTGGGAGATTCCTATTCTAGGATGCTCAGCTTGAAGAATTACTCTTGATCCAATCAATGTCAGAGAGATCCTTTAAAACATGTATGTGTTCTATCATCATTTGCATACATTTCCTCAATGTCAGCCATTGGAGGAGCTGTTTGGAAACAGCACGACCTATCTGGCCAGCACCATTCTAGCTGTCCCTGCCACTAGAGATACCATCTGGGTCTCTGGGTCAAGTGGGGACAGTTGGGGCAACACAACAATCTCCGGCAACACCGAGTCAGGCACCCAGCTCTGCCCCCGGAGATGGAGAATCCAGCCGAGGAAATCCTCCTCCTTTCACCCTCTTCCCCATGTACTGCCCATTCCTCCACTGATGTCATAACTTTACTCTTCATCCATTTAATAAAATGGACTGGACAACATAATAGCTTGGTGCTTATACGGGATTCTGCATTTTTAAAGCTCTGCGCTAACATTCTGGGACTATTCTTCCACTGAAATCAAGGGAGTTTAGCTATTGACTTCAAAGGAATGAAGATTAAGCCTCAGTTAATAAGGCTGGGATTTTCCAAGGGGCCTAAAAGAAATTAGGCACCCAATGTCCACTGATGTTCAATGGGAGTTGGGTGCTTAAGGACCAAATTTAAACCCCTTTGAGCTTTACTATTAAGACATAATTTGCAGATAGGCCTTTTGTACAGCTAGTTCTACGTAGAGTACACACACTGCATGCCCAGCTAGCATGGGTATAAACAGCAGACGGTGAGGCACTGCTTAGGCAAGTAGAGTACAGACATGCCAGACCCTTAAGTTATATACCTTGCTCAGTTCGCTATACGTCCAAGCAGGGCCTCCCCCTGCTACAATGCTATTTTTAGCAGTGTAGTGTCCGGCTGCCTCCACACCTCAGTGAAAGACTCCTGCAGCAGGGAAAGGCTTTGGCAGAGGGGAGGCACTGGGGAAAGACACCGGCAGCTCCCCCCTGCTGGTGACTTTCCCCACTGCCTCCCCACTGCCCCGGAGCCTTTCACTGCCATGTATAGCTACACATCACAGTGTGGACACAGCCTGCTTTTCACCGTCGCATGTAGCTACGCAGATCCTATCATTGGCTGCAAGTGTAGACAAGACCTATTTCTAGGACTTCTATATTCTTTTACCACACTTGCTGCTTGATAATTTACTCCCCTCTCTCCACCCACTAAGACATATCCCCACCCATAGATTGATAATGAACATACTTGTATTCTTCCTCTTCTTTGGAGTTCTTTTTGGGTTGATATTTCTTTGAAAGGTTCCTGAAATTAAAAATAAATAAAAATAAATATATAAATAAGTTGTATCTTACAATTACCAGATAGTCTCCACATCCTTCCACACTCTCATCACCCTAGCATTTAGTTGTAATGCTTTGATACATTATTTATTATTTGTATTGCAGTAGTGCCCAAAGGCCAGCCCCCCATTGTGCTAGGCACCTCACAAACATATAACAAAGAGACAGTTCCTGGCCTGAAGATTTTACAATCTAAGTGTAAGACTATATACAACAAATAGATACATCTCTCTCTCTCTACTCAATGCTTTTTGTTAGCCTAATGTGCAAACACACTAACAAATCCACGGCCACCACGGCTGTAACTACGCTGCACATTCTGAACATCATGGTGGCAACAGTGACTGAACTCATTCTGTCCTGCTCCGTAAGCACATGCCTTGTCTACTTGAGCAAAAGAAAAACCTCCTGCAGCTATTAGCAGCATTAGGCCTATGACCCACACTTGAGCTGTTCTGATTCCATCCAGGAGAGAGCAGCAGTACATATACACATCAACCAGCCCATTACAGTATGATTTGCTATAGCAGACACCACCAGTGGCCCATTAAGTCTAGTAATCCTCCTCAGGCTGTGGCCTCTGCTTAATGCATAGAAGGAAGGTGAAAAAACACTGGCCAGCTGTTGGATGCTGCACAGATGGAGTAAGGGGGAATTCCTTCTTAACCGTTGTGATCACCTGATGCAGTGACAAACAGGAAACCTGATTACCCCATTTTATCACATATAATTCTACACATTATTATTGGTCATCAGATTATCCACTCCCTTGTAAAATCCTACTAATGTTATTTGACTGCTCGTGCCAGGGACAGAGAAGCCACAGGTAACGGGGTTCAGCAGTTCTCTCCTAGAAACCAGGTGCTACAAATCCCTAGCCAATGGCAAATCTAGAGTTTAACATACTGTATGCCAGCCATTCACTCAGTGGAGCTCATCAGTGCTGATAGCTTCAGAGTTATAATGTTCTCCTTCTCACAGGAATATTTGTCCCCTACTCTCAGTCTGGCACAGCTCACAGAGTATCTTTTGAAAATGCAGACCAGATAGGATGATAAATAAACCTGCCATGGTGATTTTTTCAGGGCTTCAATGCAGAACAGTAGGCAACGTACTGAAATCAAACAAAGTTCAGTTTACAGAGGAACCTGCCATTTTGTATTGTCACACGTCAGTTTCACAACACTAAGCAATCATGGTTCCCACAATAAACACCTCTCTATTCCTCCCTTTCCGTGTTTATTTCCTTATTTGCTAACGGTCTGCATTTCCCATTTCCTCTTTTGCAAAGACAACTTTATTATTTACCTAAAGCAAACACTCTTCCATCAAACTGTTTTTACTTCTCCATTTTCTTTTCTTCTTTACACTTTAACTTAAGGGTAGAGTGGAGATGCAGCTAAGGAAACCAGTCAAAACCTATTCAACATCTGTAAATTTATACTTTTCAAAATATGAGGGGAAAAAAACACCAAAAAACTCCCCCAGGAAGAAAAGTCTAGAGCAAGATTTTATCATCCACACCCAAAAGGTCACTTGATGAAGGATACAAAGGGCTTGTCTACACTTACTGGGGGATTGATGCATGGCAATCAATGCATCGGCAGTCGATTTAGTGGGTCTAGTGAAGACCCACTAAATCGACCACAGATCGCTCTCCCGTCGACATTGTGTAGTGTGGACCCTGCAGTACGTAGATCTAAGTACGTCAACTTCAGCTACGTTATTCATTCAACTGAAGTTGCATAACTTAGATCGATCCCTCCCCTTAGTGTAGACAAGGCCTAAGAGTGCCCAGAGTACAGTACCGAAACTGGATGAGACACCTTTATTAACAGCAAATTGACTAACTCCTACACAATGGGCCAAACTGTGGGCCATGACACATCATCGTTTTAAGCAGAAATCCCTACTGACTTCAGTGGTATGTTCTTCTTAAAACCTGATGGTGTGATAAGGCCCCTTGACTTCAGAAGGTTTGCACTGGTAAAACTGAGAGCAGAATTTGGCCCACTTTATCTCAGTTTTCTTATCTGTTCTGTAACTCTTACATGAGCACAGCGGCTATCAAAGTCAGCAGGGCAAATTCTGCTCTCACGTACATCCTGTCAACCCAGTAAAGACACTGGGGTTATTGAGTAAATGAGAGAAGAGTTTGGCCCAGAGTGCTCTGTGTCTGCAAGAACAGCAGGTCTGGGCTAAACGTTCTTTTTTCCCATATTCCCATTCTTTATTTCCTTGCACCTCACCCTCCCCCCTTCAGACAGAGATCACATCAGCAGTTGCCTCTCTACAGCTGGTTTCAAAGGGCTGCTCCTTGGATGGATGGCTAATCCAGGTCCTCTTTTCCCTTGTGGATTTAGTGCATCACATGTGTGACATTGCCTGACTCCCAGTGAAGGTAACAGGAGTTGTGCCAGAGTAAAAACTGCATCAGGACCTCAGGAGGTGTTCATGCTCTATACTGTGGCCTGCTCTTCTTTAAACCAAACATCCGCACATAACTTCCTTGCCAAATTTTCCTCTCCAAGGTTCCATATCTGACTGACACATTAGCTTTTGCCTTGTCACCGGCAGCAAGATAATGTAGATATATTTATGGCATTGTGTATTAACTAAAGGACACAAATGCAGGAAACATCAAGGTCAGTTGACTAACAGCAACTTCTATACCTTAATGATAAAACACATCCACAGCAAATATAGGTGATAAGATTATTGATCTGACTATGGCAGATTTTCTAAAGAAGGCCTGTCCTGAATTCAGGAATAATTGCAGAGGAGGATTCATAGGGTGAATATCCTTCACGGTGCTAGTTAGTATTATAACATTTAATAGTGTCACATGCAGTGTTCAAGTGTCCCCATGGGAAAAGGAGTGAGAGAAAGAGAGAGGCATCATGACCTAGTAAGTGAGCATACACAATTCCTATGCTGGAGTACCCGGACTTTCCATATTCTAATCCAAGTTCTATCACTGGAGCTCATCGCTATGGGGCCATGGACAATTCCGTTAACATCTCTCTGCCTCTGTTGCCCCAACTGTAAAATGGCCATAATAATATTTTCCAGCTTCATATGGTTGTTGTATGCCATTTTATAACCATTAACACACAAGTAGTATTGGCCAAGTCTTTGCCCTTGGGGCTAAAGGTGCTGCATTCATTGTGCCACCCAGAATTCCTCCTGAGGACTCCCAGAGTGCATGCACTGGGACAATAGCTCCCCCACACTTTCAAAAGGTGCAGCCTGCTCCCTGCTCCATGCCAGCTCTACCTGCCAGGGGAGTGGTGAACCTGCCCTCATTCCACCTCTCCCATTCCCTTTTGGCCACCTAATATACATGGAGAACTAGGAGGAAGTAGGGACCGTGCTTCCACATGTGGTTCTGGCCACACCCTGCACAAGGATGCAAAATAACAGATGGAGAATCTTATGTTCCTCACCACTTGCACAAACACACTGAGGCCAGCCAGAATCCACCTCATTATTAGCATCTCTATTCCCTCCTATGCCTCTTCCAAATAAAGGATCCTCTAAAACAGCAAACTCCTCCCTTGTTAGCCTACACATTAAACATGGCAGTTTAAACCAAAGCATACTACTGCTGCAGGAATTCGGGAAGCAGTTATGCATGTCCAAGGTACATAGTGCCATTGGGATCCTGTGCGGAATGCCTGCTCTCTGGTTTCTCAGTATGGCTTAATTTCTTCATTCATGGGGCAACAAATGAGGGGGAATAAGAAAAATGCACACAAAAGATTAAATACTCTACTAAGACATTTTCACCCAAAGAAAAAGTGCACCATCTCCTAGCTTTTCAAACACCGTGTTGCCTAATTAAACCTGATGTGTCCAGTTGTCATCCCCGTGTGAGCCTCTGACTGTGCAGAATCACCTTAAAGCACTATGAAAAGCACCAAGCAGAGCATGTTTTTACATGCAAAGGATTAGAAGGTGTATGACAAGGATTAGCAGTTGGATTAAACAAACATGTTTCATTGTTTATCACATATTGTGTCAGCTGGTTTTTTTGTTTGTTTGTTTTGTTTTACTAAGAAAAAACTAAAAGTTGGGAACAGTAACCACAGCTCTAATATAGTCAGCGGGAAATATTTTCTCGTCTAAGGCTTGATCCTTCAAGGTACTGAAGCATACTAGCCTGATGCTGTAGGCAACGTGCTTAAAGTTAAGCATGTGACCAACCCTGCTGAAATCAATGGGATTATTCACATGTTTAAAGTTAGGCATCTGCTTCAACATAGTGCTGGATCAGGGCCAAGAGCGTTCAGTACTTTGCATGACAAGCCCTATAGTATTTGCTCTATAGAAATTCATTTTGCACTAGGGTGCGAAGCTTTCCTTGACTTGGTAGTACCAATTAATTCTCAAATTTTCATGGTGTTTGAAATGCTCTTTCATACCTATCTTTCTTAGAGCTATCTATACATCTTTGCAGGAAACTAAGCTAATATCTGTGGTATCTGAGAACCTTGGCCCTTTTATACTTTGAGCTCATCCTCTATTAAATAAAATCAGATTTGTGTATGTGTGTGGAATACCCTTTGAACTTCCAGATCAAACCGCTAAACATGTCAAGACCCAAATAAGGGTAAAAACACAGTGCAAGAACTACTGATGTTGGATCAGTTTATTTTAGCATTTTTTCCCTAAAGTCTTGGTTTAATGATTCAATATTTATGATATAAATAACTTGTAATCATATGAGTAAGAGAACCATCAGTTTGAGCAAGATGTGAATTTGGGTCTAAAATCAGGAACAGTTAGAAGTAAATCACAGAGTGTGAAATTTTCCCCTGTGCAGAGCACTTATGCATCACTTAAGTGGGACTTAAACAATGCACAGACCTTGCGCTGTTCATTTGTATTCCTGCTCAAATAAATTTGTTAGTCTCGAAGGTGCCACAAGTACTCCTTTTCTTTTTGCGAATACAGACTAAC